GTATTTGACAGGAGGGGGCAATAGGGAACCATCTTCCCGTGCTCGGGAGCAGATGCTTGGGGTCCCTGGCCACCAGACCAAGCCCTGCCAGGTGCCACATCTGCCATCTCCCATGGTTGGGTGCAGACTTCCAGTGCAGCACACTCACCGGGGCTAGTCCCGAGGATGTGGTTAGGATGCCAATAACATGGAAGAACCCAAGCTAGTAGTTGAAAGGTCTGCAGAGTCAGAGCTCTGTGACAGTGCCCAGGTCTTTAGTAATTGTTTAGTTAGGTTTCTTATTTCCATAAAGTTGTATAAACAAGCAAGGGTTAGCTTTCAGCAATGCTGGTTATCAAGGAAAGGGGCATCCTTGTGTTCAGCTGTGATGGTGCCTGGGACATCAGCTGCCATGAAGCACAGCTTAGGTAGCTCCTGCTGTGAAGTGACCCCACTGCAGGAGAGACCCTGCTGACCAATTGTGGGTGGTGACATGTCTGCCAGCAGACAGCAAAGATGGGGATCTTGGGTTTTGCAAGAATTCCACTTCTACCCCAAAATTACTACCTGCGTTTTGCCAGTGGTAACTCATTTATCTTGCTTGGTAAAAGGTTGCAGTGGCAGGGAATTTTGTAAAGTCCTGTAAGAGAATGCTGGGTACTCCACCATCGCTCACACTTCTCTTTTGTTGTTCAGAAATGGCACCTCGTAAGGGCAAGGAGAAGAAGGAAGAACAGGTCATCAGCTTGGGACCTCAGGTTGCTGAAGGAGAAAACGTGTTTGGGGTCTGTCATATCTTTGCATCCTTCAATGACACTTTTGTCCACGTGACTGATCTCTCTGGCAAGTGAGTATTGAACACCGATGGACTTGCTCCTTCGGTTTTGAAAACTGAAAATAGATTTGCCTAGAGGCTCCGCCAAAGTCCTTGAGCTTCTGCTGAGCTGTAAATAAGATGGTGTGTGTGCGTGAACATAGACCAGATGGCTTGTTCTGCTCCTCTGTGGTGAATATTGTGTTCAAGGTACTGGATAGCAGCTTATTGATCCAGTGTCATTGAAAATAACAGGTTCTGTCTGTACCCAGAAGCTGGTTTGTGGGGAGGGAAGAGGAAGAGTTTTTTTCTGAACATTGTCTTCCCCTTTGTTAGGGAAACCATCTGCCGTGTCACTGGTGGCATGAAGGTGAAGGCGGACAGAGATGAGTCTTCTCCCTACGCGGCTATGCTGGCGGCCCAGGATGTTGCCCAGAGGTGCAAGGAGCTGGGCATCACTGCCCTGCACATCAAGCTGCGTGCCACCGGTGGAAATAGGTACGTAGGAGGGCCTGGGCCTGGCATTCCCAGAGGATGTGTCCAGTCTTCAAACTGTGACAGAGCGCAGCACATCCTTTCTTTGCACTGCCTCAGTTGGGAAGGTAGATGCACCTTGGGAAATTGACCCTAAACCTGAGCCGAAGGGTGTCTGTCACGTTGTGTGGTGACTGACTGACGGGATCATCCCTCACTGAGCATCCTCAATCTGTTCTGAATGGGGATCTTCCGTTGACGGAGTTGGGGTGTGCTCTTACTTATCTGGTGGTGGCAGGGGAGGTGCTGTCAACTCAGAGATGTGTCACCTTGGAATGACAGTGAAGTGTGTGTCTGGTGGCTGATTGTGAATGGTTTGGGTCTGGGGACAGGAGGAGGGTGAGTTCTGCTATCTGGATGTTTTGGGATGGGGAAACTGATTTTAACATTGTCAGTTGTTTGTGAACTGTGTTCAGCTTCTGAATCATTTAAGGGATTACTGGTGCTGACTCTTTCCTCCAGGACCAAGACTCCTGGACCTGGTGCCCAGTCAGCCCTGAGAGCTCTGGCCCGGTCTGGAATGAAGATCGGTCGCATTGGTGAGTGATGGAGGAAGCGATAGCTAGGCACATACGTCATGCTATATCTGTGCAGAGCCTTGCTATTTAAAAGGAAGAGGAAGCGATAGCTAGGCACATACGTCATGGTATATCTGTGCAGAGCCTTGCTATTTAAGAGGAAGAAAAAAAAACCCGAAAAAAACCCCAAACCAAAACCACAACAGTTTTGAGGGATTACTTGGTAAAAGGAGCTTTGCAGGCATATATGCCGCTTGGTGTGACAGATTGACTTTGGGATGTTCTGCTTGGCCTCAGCCAGATGGCACTGCAGGTATGATTTAATTTAAACAGATCCTTAAGTTAACGATTCACCAGGAGGTGGTGTGAGCTGACTGCAGGAACCAAGTTTCTGGCTGCGTGGTAAACCCTGGCTGCACAGCAGGATGCTGGTGCTCCTCTGACTTAGCAGTGTTTGTGCCGGAGCCGTTCAGTCACCTCAAAATACTGTGCTGGTCTCGGTTTAAGACTGTGACTCAGGAATAACTGAATTCCTGGCAACTGTGTCAGGGAGAGTCCCAAACTTTGTAGGGCTGTCACAAGAAGCAGTGGTGTTTCCTGCTCTGAAAGTTACATCAAACACCCTTTGTTTCTCTGGAAATGCTCTGTGTGTTTGGTTTGAGCGGGATGGGAGATGGGGATTTTTACTTCCTAAGCGTTAAAAGCCTTGGGTGCCCTTGGCGAGTTCACAAATATCTTCACTCCCATGAAGCGTTCGTTCTGCCTGCGCATGGCTCCTGCGGAGGCTGGCCATGAGGTGCAGCTGCAGGATGTCGGGGTGATTGCTGGAGTTGGGTGGCTCTGCCTGGCTGGTTTCTTGGGGTGTCTCTGGAATGTAACTTGTGTTTTGTTTTTCTGTCCGCAGAGGATGTCACCCCCATCCCCTCTGACAGCACTCGCAGAAAGGGTGGTCGCCGTGGGCGTCGTCTGTGAACAATGCTGCACCGTTCGTTATTAAAGCTCTCTTTTAAACCTCTGCTCAGCTATGTGTTTTCTTGCCGAGGTATGCTCGGAAACTGAGCAGCTTCAGTTTAATTCCATCCACAAATGGCTTATCCTCTGAAGCTGGGCTCCTGGTTTGGGTTGTT